GGGGGGGGGGGGTTGCTGATTTGGGTAATCTGGGAGCTTGGATTTCAGTGAACATGTGGAGACAGGACATGTCTTTGGGACAGTGCAAATAGGGGTTGGAACTGAGTAGATCCGTAAGAATATGACCCTACCTTCAGTAAAATGGTGAACTAGAAAAAATCCACACACTGACACTGGGAAATGATAAAGAGGAAAGCTTGTCAGTCTCAGCCAGGGCTGGAGAGGGGGAAAAAAAAGAAACCTCTGGAAACTTGTGATTATGAATTTGGCTTTATACAGATTTGGAGTTCAAATTTATATCTGAGTGTTCCTGGAAACTATACCTAAAAAATTAACACATGAAGTGATCCTGGGATGATATCTTGGAGCCCCTGAAACAGGCAAACACAAGAACTTCTCTGGAAGGACACACTTTTATCCCAAGCCAAGCTGGATTCTCCAAATTACAAAACACACAAGGAAGTACTCCACCATGAGCAAGAGTCAGCAGAGACATACACATGCACGCACACACACTTATCCCCTTAAGAATGTCACGTAATAGAACTGTTGGATAGAGATGATAAAATAACAATGTTTGTAATAACTAAAGACATAAAAGAAGGAATTAAAAACATAAGAAAAGAATAAGATATCTTTGGAAAAGAACCAAATAAAATCTCTAGAAATGGAAAATGTAGTCATTGAGATTAAAATCTCAATGTACAAATCAAATAGCACATCAATACAGCTGGGAGAGGATTAAATAAATATAAATTTAGATTTAAGGAAGTTGCCCACAATGTAATACAGAGAGATGAAGAGACAGAAAATGTGAAATAAAGCTTTAAAGACTGTAGTCAGAATCAGAAGATCAAGCATATAACTGATAGAAGTTCCAGAAGAAAAAAAAAAAAGGAGAAAGTGAGGGCAAAATAACATTCAAAGAAAGAATGACTGAGAATTGATTAAATAAATGAACCTTAAATTCAGGAATCATAATACATCCTGTGTAGGATAAATAAAAGTAAATATATCTAGATGTCGTGATGAAACTACTGAACATCAAAAGCAAAGACATCATAAAGTAACCGAAAAAAGAAAGATTGCCTACTAAGGAACAATAGTTAGATGGATGGCAAACTCCACAATAGCTTCAATAGAATCTGGAAGATAGTAGAAGCATGATTTCAAAGTGCTGGAGGAAAATATTGGACAACCTAGCATTCTGTACCCAGTTATCTTACCATTTAAAAAGGATACTAAACAAAGACTGAGAGTTCTCTCTGAAACAACAAAAATTTGCTCTTCAGAAAGAAATAAGATTGCAGAAGTAAGATCTGAAAAGTAAGATCCTGAGAAGGAATAGGGAGCAATGAAATGGGTGTGAACGTGGGTAAAGCTAAGCAAGCATTGACCGGATAAAACAATAATAATGATGATGACTAATTTGAAGGTATAAGAAGTAGGAACTAAAATATTGGACAACAACAGCACGTAAGATAGGCATGGAGCAGGGATTGAAGGTAAGGAAGTCTAAAGTTCGTGTACTCTATGAGATATTAATTAACTTAGACTCAATTAACTCAAGCCTGGTGTTAAAACTTTTAGGGTAACCACTAAGAGGATAGACATGGAAGGTCTTAATTACCAAACCAGTAGAGAGGAAGGTGGAGAATTTTAAAAGTTCAATCCAATAGAAGGAAGGAAAGGAGAAAATAAAAGAAACAAAAAATAGAATACCCAAAATGAGATGTAGACATAACCAAATATATCAGAAATCTCAATAAATAGAGGTGGATTAAAGTCACTAGTTAAAAGACAGATTGTCACTTTGGTAAAGAAATAAAACTCTGCTGTGTGTTTTTTACAAAGAACACCCAAAATCTGAGGACCCAAATCCCCAAAAGGGGTTTAAGAAAAAGAGATGGAAAAAGATACACCAGCAAATACTATAAAGAAAATTGATGGAGTTGTATTAATATCAAACAAAATAAACTTTAAAGCTAAATGTATTACTCAGGTATAAGAGGTCCAAAACATAAAGATAAAAGGAACAATTCACCGAGAATATATAATAGCTCTAAACTTCCATGTGCCAAATTACATAGCTTCTAAATATGTAAAGCAGACAATGAGATAAACTTAACAAGTCTGCAATCTTAGTGAGAGATCACCTTCAATAATTGATGGGTCAAGCTGACAGAAGATTAGTAAGGATATAGAGGATTGAAATAACAGAAATCTAAAAAGCTTGAGTTTATAAATGTGCAGAGCCCAGCACCTAACAATTAAAGAAAATATGCACAGAACATTTACAGAATAACCACATTTTATATCTCAAAGCAAGTCTCAGCAAATCATGCGTCCTTCGTTCTTTGAGCATTGTGCAATTAAATTAGTAGTTTAAAAAAAGTAAATTAAATTTTTAGAATTATACTTTCAGATAACTATAGTCAAAGAAAATGTCATAATGGAAATCATAAAAGCTTATAATGGAAAGAGAATGAAAATACTTTTGAGTTGCAGCAAATGCAGTACTTAGAGGGAAATTTATAGCCTAAAGTGTATATATTAAAAAAGAAAAGTTGAAAATGAATGAGCCAGGCATTTGATTCAACTAGAAGAAGAATGAGTATAAACTCAAAGAAAATTGAAGAGCAAAAAATTAATAAAATAATATACAAAGATTCATCAGGCAGTTTTTTTGTAAAAAAAACATTTTTTGAAAAAACTAATAGACAAACTTTTAGCAAGATTAAAATAGAAAAAAGAAACACAGGCACAAATAATGATATTAAGAATGGACAAGAGAGCATAACTATACAAACAGCACAGATTAAAACATAGTAAAAGGACATTA